GGCCTCGGAAGTCGCATGGAAGATCCGCACACCTCAGAGCCGCCGCCCGCCCTCTCACACCCGCCAACCTGGAGCCCCCCATCCTCATCCCAGGACCTCTTGCCCTCTCCCAGCCGCCCCCCGGGACCTGCCCGCCCCTCCAGCCATCACAGTGGTGGGGTCGCGGGAGCCCCTTTCTACGCCACGCAGCCTATTGCACGCGAAAGGGGTGCGTCCAGAGCGCCAGCTCCTGCTCGGAAGGTGCCGCTTCTCCCCTCCCGGCCTGGCTGGCTGGCCTCCGATGCACATGCGGGCATCGCCGCCGCCTCGCCCTCTTCCCCGCCCCCCTGGCCGCTTCCGGCACCTGGAGCCCAGCAAGCCGGGAAGGAGCCGCTCCTGCCTGGCAGCCCCACGGCCGCGCCGGGTGCCAGAGGGCCGAGGCGGCCTTCGAAGGCGAGGGAGGCGGCTCGGGCGGCGCGGGGGAGACTCCTGCACAGTGTGGAGGGTGACCGGGGGCGGAGCACGGCCGGGCAACCAGGAGGCATGGAGACCGGCTCGGCGCCGCAGTTCAGCTCAGCTGGCAGTGGCAGCAGCGGTTTTCTCGCCCTTCTCCTCTCCTTCCTCCTGCTGCCCCCAAAGCGGCTCGGGCGGGAGCCAGGAGGAAGAGATGTGCCTGGGGGGAGCAGCTGGGCTGGCGGAGGGGCTGGCGGGCCACACGGCACTAGCCCCCACCGCGGCTCCATTGATGGACGGGCAGCGTGGGGACGGCGGAGACAGCGGCAGCGGTAGCCGCCGCTGCATCATTGGGGGTCCCCGCCGCCCCTGCACTGCCCGGCCTGGCCTGGTCCTCCATCAATGGCCCACCAGCCCCTCCGCCAGCCCAGCTGCTCCCCCCAGGCACCCCTCTTCCTCCCGGCTCCCGCCCGAGCCGCTTTGGGGGCAGTAGGAGGAAGAAGGAGAGGAGAAGGGCGAGAAAACCGCTGCTGCCGTCCCTGCCGCCCCCGCGCTGCCTGGCCTCGGCCTCCTCCCATCCGATGGAGCCGCGGTGGGGGCTGGTGCCGTGCGGCCCACCAGCCCCTCATCCAGCCTGGCTGCTCCCCCCCAGGCACCCCTCTTGCCCCGGCACCCGCCCGAGCCGCCTGGGGGACAGTAGGAGGAAGAAGGGAAGGATGAAGAGAAGGGCAAGGAAGCCGCCGCCAGCACTGGGCCCAGGAGGTGGCTCTCCTCTCCTGCCTTTGCTGAATCTCCTTCCTTCCCGGCAGCCTGGACTCCGGCACGCCTTTCTGGCCAGCGGGTCCAATGGTCGGGCTGGCTAGGGATTGCAGCGGTTGGTCTCCCTTGGGCCACGGCTTGTGGGAGGGCTGGCCCGCTCAGCGGAGCCTCCAGTGGGCCGCTCCCAACAGGGATCCCGGGGCTTCCCCGGGCAACTCCAAGGCCACAAGGCCCTGGCTACGCTTCTCCCAGGGGGTGGGGCACCCGGGCGCAGGGCCAATCAGGAGCCCTGCAGGAGGTAAGTCCGCCTGAGAGAGAGAGAGAAGGAAAGCGAAAGTGCCTCTCTGTCTCTCTGCAAATGGCGGAGGAGGCCACATGGAGACGGATGCGGAGCGTTGTCTCGGTTCCTAAGACCATCGGAAATATGTGTTTTTCGATGGTCTTAGGCGACCCCGTGAAACGATTGTTCGACCCCCAAAAGGGTCACGACCCACAGGTTGAGAACCGCTGAACTAGGCACTTCACCCTGCTGCAGTGATAAAATTCCAGGCTAATGAGATGCACCTAATTGTCTGATATTCTGCTATTTTACCACAACTGTGGCTGATATATA